TCTTAAAAAGCCCACTCTTGACCCAGGGGTTTTATAGACCAATCTCTACCCTCCCCTTCCTCTCTAAGATTCTGGAGAAAGTAGTCGCCAAAGAGTTGTGTGACTTTCTACATAACAATAGTTTATTTGAGGATTTTCAGTCAGGATTTAGAGTTCATCATAGCACAGAGACAGCTCTGGTTAAAGTTAATAATGACCTTCTGATTGCTTCTGACAATGGACTTGTCTCTGTACTTGTATTATTAGATCTTAGTGCTGCATTTGACACCATTGACCATAATATTCTTTTACAGAGACTTGAGCATCAAATTGGCATTAAAGGAACCGCACTACGCTGGTTTAAGTCATATTTATCAGATCGTTCGCAGTTTGTACATGTTAACGATGAATCTTCAATAAATACTACAGTTAGTCATGGAGTTCCACAAGGTTCTGTACTTGGACCAATACTATTTACTTTATACATGCTCCCTTTAGGCAACATTATTAGGAATCACCCCATTAACTTTCACTGTTATGCAGATGATACGCAGTTATATCTATCGATCAAGGCCGATGAAATTAATCAATTAATTGTAATAAATTACAAACATGTCTTAAGGACATATAATCCTGGATGAGCTGCAATTTTCTGATGTTAAACTCAGAAAAAAACGAAATTCTTGTTCTTGGCCCCAAAAACCTTAGAGACTCACTGTCTAAAGATATAGTTACTCTAGATGGCATTACCTTGGCCTCTAGCACCACTGTCAGGAATCTTGGAGTTATCTTTGATCAGGATTTGTCATTTAACTCCCACATAAAGCAAACCTCTAGGACTGCCTTCTATCATTTACGTAATATTACAAAAATTAGACAGACAGATGCAGAAAAACTAATCCATGCATTTGTTACTTCAAGGCTGGATTACTGCAACTCTTTATTATCAGGTTGCCCCAATAAGGCCATTAAAACGCTCCAATTAATTCAGAACGCTAGGAACTAGAAAAAGAGATCACATCTCTCCTGTACTTTTCTGCACTGGCTCCCTGTAAAAAGTTAGAATAGAATTTAAAATCCTCCTCCTCACCTATAAAGCTCTTCATGGTCAGGCCCCTTCATATCTTAAAGAGCTCATAGTGCCCTATTACCCCTCTAGAACCCTACTTTCTCTGAGTGCTGGGCTACTTGTGGTTCCTATAGTCTCTAAAAGTAGAACAGGAGCCAGAGCCTTCAGTTACCAAGCTCCTCTCCCATGGAATCAGCTTCCAGTTGTGGTTCGGGAGGCAGACACCCTCACCACATTCAAGAGTAGGCTTAAGACGTTCCTCTTTGATAAAGCTTATAGTTAGGGCTGGATCAGGTGAGTCCTGAACCATCCCTTAGTTCTGCTGCTATAGGCCTAGACTATCGGGGGATTTCCCATGGTGCACTGAGCTCCTCTCTTCCTCTCTCTTTCTGCACTCATTCATGTCCCATTATTGCATGTTACTAACTTCACTTCTTCCCCAGAGTTGTTGTGCTTTCTAGTCTCGCAGGTTCTTATCGATCCTGGTGGAGCCTCCTGCCATGGTCCTGCAAGATTGCCATTGCCAATACTGTTGTTGCTGTGCACCTGTCTGTCTCTCTCTCCCTCTCTCTCACCACAACTGGTCGAGACAGACGACCACCCACCTAGAGCCGAAGGATCTGTCCTAGGTTTCTGCCTTTTAACAGGCAGTTTTTCCTTGCCCTTGTCGCCAAGTGCTTGCTCATGGTGGTACTGTTGGGTCTCTGTAAATAATGTTAAAGGAGTTCGGTCTAGACCTACTCTATTTGAAAAGTGTCCTGAGATAACTTCTGTTATGAATTGGCGCTATACAAATAAAATTTAATTGAATTGAATTGATGCCGATTTGCGTTACTTTCAGTGTTTCAGAAAAAGTGCTCTGAAGATTGTTCTCAGTCATCCTCAGCAGTGGCAGTGATGTAGAGTGATGACATTGCGGACATTAGGCCCGCAATGTCATCACTCTACATCACTGTACACCACCATCAGCTCACCTTTCAGTTTCTCCCTGCATATCATCGGGTAATGTTCACATGCAATGTCCAGCTGCTTCTGCAGTTTAGTGTTCTTAAACAGCAGAAAGAGTTCAGGGTCAATAAGTTCAAAAGACACCAAGTGTATACCTTCCTCAAAGTGAGCCTTTGACTGCTCGACCATTATGTCACAGCACTGTGCAGCTACTGACACATTATCAGAGCGCCATCCTCCACATCTGGATGTGGCTGATGAACTGTGGTCAGCAGTTCAGATATGGAGCATGAAAAGTATAGTATAGTATATAGTAGTGTATAGTATAAAGAGTTCGGTCTAGACCTGCTCTATTTGAAAAGTGTCCTGAGATAACTTCTGTTATGAATTGGCGCTATACAAATAAAATTTAATTGAATTGAATTGAACTTTTTTAAAAATTGTTTAGTGATCAGGGATATTACCAGTCATCCATCCGAAAAATAAAATCTCTGCTCACGTTAACAGCTCGAAAATCAATATAAGTCCAAAGAATAAAGTTTCTGTCCACATTCGCAGTTGCTCCTTGCTCCATCCAGTATTTTTACTTATGCCAGTTTCAATGGGATTAATTGAATCCCTTAAAATGCAAAACGTCTCTATGCACATCAATATTATGAATTCAAACTTTCAAAGCGTTTTTTTGGCATCATTCCAGTAGCGTTGTTCAATAGAATATTTTCATGTGTTGTTGGTGTCACACTCTTCTCCTCCGCTGGCCCCCGCTGTCCCCTCACCTTTGTGGCGGGCGAGAAAGGCTTTGGCATCCACCGCACATGAGAACTCATGCCACCGGTTGTTCAGTGAGAAGGTCATTGTTGCTGGATATCGCAAGGCATACTCCACATTACGCTTACGAAGAATTCGGCTCATCTCCTCGTATTTTTTGCGTTTCTCTTGTATCTCCTGTGCGTAGTCTTGGAAAAAAAAAATCCTCGTACCGTTCCAGGTAACTTGCTTCTTCTCCCTCAAAGCCTTTAACACGGCAGCTTTGGCCTTGTCCTGTAAGAGCCGGACAATGATGTGTCTTGGCCTGGCGTTGTCTCCAGGTCGGGGGCCGACCCAGTGGATACTATCAACTTCATACCAGTCATCGACATTAATATCCAATGCCTCCGATAGCAGTGTTTTCATAAAGCCATCCCAGTTGCGACCTTCCATTCCTTCTTTCACACCCGCGATGCGTATGTTTTGGCGCCGGGAAAAGCCTTCCACGCCGTCATCTTCTCCTTCAGTATGTGATTTTGTGTCGCTAGGTCATTCACCACTGGGGCCCTTTCTGTCTCTTCGTCCTCCAGTTTGGATATTCTGGATTCTGCCTCGGTAATTCTGCAGCCCAGACTTTTCATTGTTTCATTCACCGCCTCAACTACCCTTTTTACCCCCGAGACGTCCGCCGCTAGGCTTTCAAGGATACTCTTGATACCCTGCAGTTCAGTCATCACGATTGTGGTGTCTTGTGGAGGTGATTCCGCCATTTTAGGTGCAACCGCGGTCTCCTGGATGTTCTTGCCCCGTTGGTTTTGAGGGGGGTTACGGGTAAAATAGTGGCTTTTTACCAACATATTAAGTCAAAGTCAAAGTCAAAGTCAGCTTTATTGTCAATTTCTTCACATACACCAGACATACAAAGGAATCGAGAGGACGTTTCTCACTCTCCCACGGGGAAACAGATAAAATGGACAGGCACAAACAGACAAGGCATTTCCTAATACTAAAATTAAACATTCAATTTCACAGCAGGTATGACATTTACTTATGCTAAAAAGATTAAAGATATTACCTAGATTAAAAGATTAAATATTACTTTGCAGTTACTGTTTCGTCAGTGGTATACGTATTTTTGCTTATATATAATAACTTATATTTATAAAAGAACAGGGAAATCAGCTAAGCTGGCTCGGCCCGCTTCTCCTAAGCAGCCATCTTGGGTGCGCCACCACCGGAAGTTCATTTATTCACAGTATTAAATATAAAACATGAACTTTATATCAGTTAATGTCATTTATTCACTGTATTAAATATAAAACATGGACTTTATATCAGTTAATGTCATTTATTCACTGTATTACATATAAAACATGAACTTTATATATCAGTTAATGTCATTTATTCACTGTATTAAATATAAAACATGAACTTTATATCAGTTAATGTCATTTATTCACTGTATTAAATATAAAACATGAACTTTATATATCAGTTAATGTCATTTATTCACTGTATTAAACACATTAGGACAGAAAGATGTAGAGATATATATTTATATACAGCAGGTCAATACTGAAGATACAGAACAGTTCCCATAGTTCCTTTCTAATGATTCAATCCACTGACTCTACTGCAGAATATGAGGTCCAGGTCCAGGTCCAAATCATAACAGAGACCCAGAGAGAGCCAGAGAGAGAGAGAAAGAGAGAGAGAGATGCACAACAACAACTATACTAATAATAGTTATAATGCTAATACTAATACGATGGGGGGAATACAACAACAACAACAATAATAATATCAATAATAATAATAATCAATGAGAACCTGCGAGCAGAGAAAGCAGAAGAAGTCTGGACTTTGATCAACAGCTGTTTCCTTGATTGACCTTTCTCACTGATACATTGATTGTGTGATCAGTTTGTGATCAATAGCTGGAACAGCTGCTGTTGTAGTTCCTGAAAGCTCCACTAGATGTTACTAACGAGTAATCAATCACACTGACGTCACTCTGATGATCCAATAAAGGCTGTCAGCAGAGGATATCTATAGATTATATATTACTTATTGATTTACTATCATAATGTATGTATTATATATATTATATTATAACATGTTACGTCTGTCTGTATGTCTGTCTGTCTGACTGTCTCTCTGTCTGTCTGTCTGACGGGGGTCCGGGCAGGGGGGCGGAGTCAGAGTGTGGCGGTGTTAAACGGTGACCGCGCGGACAGGCTGCTGACAGTTTTTACCGGTTAAGCAGCACCCCCCCCCCCACACACACACACACACACACGAGTGAGCGCGCGGACCTAGTCAATGGTTTGGTGGAGTTTCCGGTTGTCTCGCAGTCTCGTGTGTGTTGACTGACGTCGGGGCTCTCGCGTAACGCGGAAACTAGCCCAGTGTGACTGTTGGAGACTGCGCAGAGGATCAATAATCACTTATCGATGACCGGTTGGCGGTGTGAAGTCATACACGACGCCAGGTGGAGGTGAGCTGAAGGTGGGGTCAGTTAAAGAGGCACAGTCTTAAAGCCAGCGTTTTCTCTATGGAGTCTGGTACAGCGCTCACTCTGCAGCAGCTGATCAATCAGCAATCAATATTGATTGGAACATTTTACACTGTGGAAGTCAATCAATCGATCATTCTCACAACTTCTGTTCATATATTTGACCCTCGCAGGCCTCCGTACTCCGGCTTTCTCAAACATGTTGTCAGGAAGGAACTGTTATCTGTCATCACCACACCTTCCTCCTCCTCCTCCCCCACTGCTCTCTCTCTGTTACTTCCTGGTTCAACTGTTTTCTCAAACAAACATTGAGGCTGCTCCACACAGTGTGTGTGTGTGTGTGTGTGTGTGTGTGTGTGTGTGAGAGAACCACAACGGACTGGACTTGGACCCGGACCTGAGTCAGGACTAACTGAGACTCTACTTGTAGGTCTGGTTTAAGGACTAAGGACTGGATCCTGGGCTGACTCAGACTGAGAGATGCAGCTGTCGAACGGAAAGACGTTGACCCTGATCCTGCTGTCGGCCCTGCTGCTGGGGTGAGTTCAAACCCTGATACTGATACTAATAATACTGATAATACTGATAATACTGATATTGATTGAACACTAATACAGGTATATATATATATAGTTATAATCTGAAATATATTATATATAAAGTCAACTTAAAGAAAAGGAATAATTATAACACTGAATGCATGCAGATATTTTATGGGTTTATTATTTATTGTACTGTAAAGCGCTGTGGATACATAAAGCCACTGGTGAGGTGTAGACTGCACCTTTAATATATTTATTACCTTTATTACCTTTAATATCTTTAAATTAGAATATAATATACATTCCTCTGTATTATGTATTTTTAGCAGTTAAACAATCGTACCGAGCTGCTGCTAACGTTAGCTTAGCTTGTTTCTCTGATGACTTAATGTCTGAACAGCGCTGACGCAGGTACAGAGAGGATATAATGGGAAGGGTATCAAACCTGTGTCAGACGTCTGTGTTATACAACAGGCTGCAGTGGGATAATGAACCCTGTACAACGTCCTACAGGTGTGTCTGTACAGGTGTCTGTACAGGTGTCTGTACTGATGTCTGTACTGATGTCTGTACAGGTGTGTGTACAGGTGTGTGTACAGGTGTGTGTGTACAGGTGTGTGTACAGGTGTGTGTACAGGTGTGTGTACAGGTGTGTCCGTACAGGTGTGTCCGTACAGGTGTCCGTACAGGTGTCTGTACAGGTGTCTGTACAGGTGTCTGTACAGGTGTCTGTACTGATGTCTGTACTGATGTCTGTACAGGTGTGTGTACAGGTGTGTGTACAGGTGTGTGTGTACAGGTGCCCTACAGGTGTGTGTACAGGTGTCTGTACAGGTGTCCGTACAGGTGTGTCTGTACAGGTGTCCTACAGGTGATACTCTGATGTCTGTGACATGGATTCAGTGGTCAGTCTGTGTTTAATCTAACAAACCGATACGTCCATTCAGAAATAAAGAATCTTCAGTCTGTGCATCAGGAGTTGATCACTTCTATTTATTGATGATTGATTGTGCTTCTGTTTGAACCCGCAGAGTGCTGTACTGCTACATCTCCCAGTCCTACAGGTAACTCACACACAGCCTCACCTGTTGATCCTTCAGTTTACTGTCAGAGGACCAAAGACACCAGAAATGATTCACTTTAAGAAGCTGAAATCAGACAATCTGGGTATTTTTCTTTAATGACTCAAACAGTTAAAACTTCCAGATGTCAGATTGTGAACGATGTGTCTGTATAATCAGTTAGCATGAGGCTAAGTTAGCATGAGGCTGAATTTCTTTTATATTAATATTTTTGTATTTTTCTTTTGTATTTATAATATTGATCTCTGATCAGATATTAAACTGCCCATTCTTCTCTCAATTAATCGATTTTTTGTTCCAATATTTGGTCTGATGGACTAATAAAGTGTGTGTGTTAAATCAGTCGTCCCCACATAGATAGGAGAATATAACTCTGTGTGTGTGTGTGTATGTTTCAGAGTAGTGTCGCTGGGTTCAGTGTGGGAGGAGATAACAGCTGATGGCAGGTGAGTAAATCAAACGCTCTCTGTTCTCTGTTGACCCTGTCTGACCTTCATACCGCTCACCTGATCACCTGAGCACCTGTTTACCTGCTCACCTGTTCACCTGAGCACCTGTTTACCTGAACCGCCCCGGCTCTGATTCTGTGAATTGTCATATGCAAAAAGCAGCAGGTTGTTTATGCAAACTGGTTGTCAGTCAGTGGTTGTTGGAGCGATAGATTAGATTAGATTGGATGCTCCTGTTCAGATGTGTAATATATAGATCCTGGATCAGTGTCAGTTACAGGTATGAGGAAGTATCAGCTATAAATACATATCATGTTACATAAAAAAGTTCTCATGAAACATCTTTTCTTCATATTTGTGTGTCTTTGATAATGAAACGCAGAATCCTCACTGACCTCCGCGATGCGTCTGCACATTGCGGAGGTCAGTACTGAGAGATTCACTTCCACTGTAACTCGTTTCATTCTGAACACATTTCAAAGAAATGATGGATTGTTATCATCGACAAACTCTGTAAATGGCCGCGGTACTGTAACGTTACTCCCTGTGTTCGATCCCCTGTTATGGTAACTTCTTCTCCCTGCCTCGCATCGTTCTTGGCTAGTAGAAAGCTATCGTTAACTTTGTACCGTTACATCAGTTGTTATTGGCTAACATCAACACAGTTTGTCAGAATACATAAGTTAGTACCTTGGATATGTTGAGCTGGGGAAGCTAACGTTAGCCATCTAACATATCCACTCAGATTGTATTTTGCTAGTGATAATGTTAGCGAGCAAGCAAGCTAAAGTTAGTTAGCCTGCTGAATAATGTTATCCAGCAATGGCCACCCCGTAACACCAACCAGCAAGCTAACGTTATCCAGCTAACAGCACAATCAGACAATTTGTTCCACTAGCTTAGCATTAATGTTAGCTTTGACTTTGGACTCTGTGTTGGACTCTGTGTTGTGGACTCTGTGTTGGACTCTGTGTTGTGGACTCTGTGTTGGACTCTGTGTTGGACTCTGTGTTGTGGACTCTGTGTTGTGGACTCTGTGTTGGACTCTGTGTTGTGGACTCTGTGTTGGACTCTGTGTTGGACTCTGTGTTGGACTCTGTGTTGCCCACTGTTGGCACTCGGGAGCATAAAGGTCACAACCTTTGACCCTCATCCTACATAGAGACACATAGAGATCAGTCCACAGACAGCAGAGGAACAAAGCTCCACTACAACCTGTTCACTCTCTGCTCACACACACACACACACACACACACACACACAGTGATCAATAATCTGACTGAAGGAAGCTTTAATGCTCCAGCAGGCTGCAGGTTGGTGCAGGAGTCGGTCTGTAGGTATGATGTTTGTTTAGAGGGTGGAAGGAGGTTAAAGATCAGATACACTCCCACAATGCTTTGTTCCTCTGAGGTCCCTCCAATGAGAACGAGAAAAACCTGAAACATTCCTGAGTTCAGACGTCAGAGAGTCGTCAGTATGTCAGCTGATATTCACTCTCATCATTACACTGTGGATCCAGTTGAGTTTGGGTTTAAAAGAACATATTGAATATTTCAGTTTGTTTATGAAAATGAAAAAAACTAAATTTAAAACTTAATAAACACTTTACAGTTAATAAATAATCTAATAATAATAATAAAACAAGAACAGTAATAACATCCTGTTCCATCCAGGATCCATCTGAGTCATCAGCAGGTTCAGGAGTGATCACCTGGTTACACCATACATATATATATATATATATATATATATATATATATATATATCTTATTGTATAACAGTGGGAGATAAAGCCACAGAACATTTCATTTGATTATTATTTATTATCTGCAGTTCAATCGCAGCCTGTCAAAGCAGTCTGACTGTCTTCTTCCAGGAAAACCCTCAAAAAACCCTCCTGAATTAACTGTGTGTGTGTGTGTGTGTGTGTGTGTGTGTGTGTGTGTGTGTAGATCTGAAGTTCACATTGAGAGTCATCACCTGGTGGCTCCTGACAGGTTAGTACAGACAGACAGACACAGACAGACACACACTGATGGAGGTCTAATGTTGATGTGCTGCTTCCTGTCATCCTGTGCTAATGCTAATGCTAACACTAAAACATGAACAGGAAGCTGGTGAGCAGCGAGCAGTGAGTACACTCTGGTGATGGAGGGAATGCTAACGCTAACTGTTAGCTCACTAGTTGTGGTCAGAGTGTAGTTTGTAGGTAGGAATGCTAACAGTTGCTGCCCTCTGGTGGTCGGGAGGCTTAATAACTGCATCAGTGTGTGTTTAGATATCTATAGATCTAGATCTATAGATCTATAGATCTAGATCTATCTATCTATAGATCTATTGATATAGATAATGATATAATGTTCAACCTTGGATTGAACCATTTACTGAAACTATAAACATTAAAGTTTAATGTTCATTCAGACTGTAAACAATAGGGACCAGATCATAAAGTCCTATTGCTAACAGTGCTAACCTTTGCTAACATTGCTAACAGTGCTATAAATGCTAACCATGCTAACAGTGCTATAAGTGCTAACCCTTGCTTACTGTGCTATAAATGCTAACCATGCTAACAGTGCTATAAGTGCTAACCCTTGCTTACTGTGCTAACCATGCTAACAGTGCTATAAGTGCTAACATTGCTAACCATGCTAACAGTGCTAACCATGCTAACAGTGCTATAAGTGCTAACCCTTGCTTACTGTGCTATAAATGTTAACCATGCTAACAGTGCTATAAGTGCTAACATTGCTAACCATGCTAACAGTGCTATAAGTGCTAACCCTTGCTTACTGTGCTGTAAATGCTAACCATGCTAACAGTGCTATAAGTGCTAACCCTTGCTTACTGTGCAAACCATGCTAACAGTGCTATAAGTGCTAACCCTTGCTTACTGTGCAAACCATGCTAACAGTGCTATAAGTGCTAACCCTTGCTTACTGTGCTAACCATGCTAACAGTGCTAAAAGTGCTAACAGACTGTTGCTGTGTTTGTGTTTCAGTCTGCAGTACAAACAACCGAGCATCGTGAGCGGGTGAGTGTCACCTTCTGTTGTTGTTGTTGTTGTTGTTGTTGTTTGTTAATGTCTGTGTCTTTAGTCGTACTGACGTGGTGGCGGTGACGCCGTGGTTGGCTCCTGTGGTCTGGGAGGGAACCTTTAACCCGGTACTCCTCGACAGCATCTACAAACCTCAGAACATCAGCATCGCAGTCACCGTGTTCGCTGTCGGGAAGTAAGTGTGACATCACCACGCCGCCGCAGCACTTCTGGTTTGACCTTTTACATGGAGGTGACCCCTCTGACCTTCTGGACAGGTACGTCATGTTCCTGAAAGACTTCCTGGAGACTGCAGAACAGCACTTCTTCATTGGTTTCAACGTGCACGTTTACGTCTTCACCGACCAGCCCACCAAGGTGCCCCAAGTCAAAATGGCCGCCGGCAGACAGGTACAGATACTGGTGCAGGTTGAGCAGATTCATTCTGAGTGAACCCACTGACTCCTCCTCCTCATCTCGTCCCCACTCAGCTGACGGTGTGCTCGGTGCCCAGCTCCAAGCGTTGGCAGGAGATCTCCGCTCGCAGGATGGAGCTCATCCAGACGCTGATCGAGGAGAAACTTCAGAACCGCAACGATTTCATCTTCTGTCTGGACGTGGACTCCAAGTTCCACGGCCGCTGGGGCACCGAGTCCCTGAGCGGACTGGTCGCTGTGATCCATCCAGGTCAGTCTGTCTCCATGACGACTCACCAGAACCTTCTTCTGGTTCCACTGAGGCTCTCAACGATGTTCAGATGTTGTTGTTGTTGTCGTTCCCACCTCATTGGCAGAGCGTCATCCTGTAGTGTCAATATCATCCTCAGATATCAATATCTCACTTTGATCCTTTGGGACCTTCTGCAGAAAGCAAACTGAAACAGATTAGCTGCTGGCTAGCATATATATCCATAAGCCCCGCCCCCGTTGGTTCCACAGTTAGCTCATTTAAGATGTGACTTTATATTAGTAGCTAGTTAGCTAGTGTTTTGCTAACATAAGCTAATTGAAGATTTAAGGCGGAGGGATCACGGGAACCACCCGATACATTTACATAGACAACAGGGACAACAGGTCTCTTATCTGTCTTTTCAGCATAGATTAGCTTAGCATCTAGCATGTCTAACTATACTGTGATTGGAGTAGAACAAAAAGGGGCGGGACTTATGAAAGGTCACTTAAATTGAGTTTGACTGATTATACGTTGATGTTAACAAAAACCTGATTTCATTTTTGGTGTAAAAAAAACTATGAAAACATCTTAATGACTGATAAATTATCAATTAATCAATTAAATAGTTACTGATTATCTGATTCTGCTCTGCTCACTAACCAATACATTGATCCACTGTCTTTGTGTTGTCTGGGACTATGTTCTCAGGCGGAGGGATACTAAATGTTGTATCACTCCCTGCTGTGTCTGCAGGTTACTACAGGGATGACCGCAGCCGGTTCCCCTATGAGCGGAGGCCCGAGTCCAGAGCCTATGTTGGTCCTGGTCAGGGGGACTTCTACTACTGTGGGGGGGCGTTCGGAGGCCTCCTGCAGGAAGTCCACCAGCTCGCCAAAACCTGCCGCTCCAACTTCGAGGCTGATGCCAAGGAAGGCATCGAGGCTGCCTGGCAGGAGGAGAGTCACCTGAACAGGTAGGCAGGAAGAGAGTCCCCTGAACAGATAGGTAGCAAGAGAGTCCCCTGAACAGGTAGGCAGGATGAGAGTCCCCTGAACAGGTAGGCAGGAAGAGAGTCCCCTGAACAGGTAGGCAGGAAGAGAGTCCCCTGAACAGGTAGGCAGGAAGAGAGTCCCCTGAACAGGTAGGCAGGAAGAGAGTCCCCTGAACAGGTAGGCAGGGAGAGAGGAGAGTCACCTGAACAGGTAGGCAGGATGAGAGTCCCCTGAACAGGTAGGCAGGAAGAGAGTCACCTGAACAGGTAGGCAGGAGGACAGTCACCTGAACAGGTAGGCAGGAAGAGAGTCCCCTGAACAGGTAGGCAGGAGGACAGTCACCTGAACCCTGACCTGTGTTGTATTTTCTACTTCCTGGTCCTGTGCGTTCAGGTACATGTGGATCAACAAACCCAGTAAGGTGCTGTCACCTGAGTACCTGTGGCAGGACTTCAAACCCAGGAACCCCGAGGTCTACATCGTCAGGTTCTCCGGAGTCGTCAAGAACTACGCTGAGATCCGACCCAACGTCTGACAGTCCAGACTGAACTGGACTGGACTGAACTGAACCGGTTTGAAAGGGTTTGGAAAATCCACACACCTGGTTTGCACCTGTCTCTATCCCCTGAGGCTTACCCACAATCCACCTCTTCGCCTGGTCTCTTGCTGTCAATCAAGATTGAACACTGATCACTACAGACTCAGGACCTTCAGCTAACTTCGGCTCTATTGAGCGTGTGCAGCTCTTAGACCAACAATCACACTGTCGACCCCGCCCACACTAGCACCTGCTTCTACCTGTGCAACAGCGTGTGCTCTTATCCCACGAGTCGGTATTCTCCGTTTGATCTGTCTCAGAATAAACAGATTTATTTTCATAATGTTTCTGAGATTCTGTCCTCTAAAGCTGTTTTAGTGAATGAATTAATATCAGATTATGATATTGATTTACTTTGTCTTACTGAGACCTGGTTGTCCCACGAGGAGTATGCCTAAATGAATCCACCCCCCCCAGTCATATTAATACTCACATTCCTCGAGGCACTGGCCGAGGAGGTGGAGTGGCAGCCATATATGATTCGAGCGTTTTAATGGACCCTAAACCTAAACTAAATTATAATTCATTTGAAAGCCTTGTTCTTAGTCTTTCTCACCCAAACTGGAAAACACTGCAGCCAGTTCTATTTGTTATAGTGTACCGCACTCCTGGACCGTACTCTGATTTTATATCTGAATTAAATTTTTTTTATTTGTATAGCGCCAATTCATAACAGAAGTTATCTCAGGACACTTTTCAAATAGAGCAGGTCTAGACCGAACTCTTTAAAACATTAATTACAGAGACCCACAGTACCACCATGAGCAAGACCTTGGAGACAAGGGCAAGGAAAAACTGCCTGTTAAAAGGCAGAAACCTAGGACAGATGCTTCGGCTCTAGGTGGGTGGTCGTCTGTCTCGACCAGTTGGGGTGAGAGAGAGACAGAGAGACAGACAGACAGACAGGTGCACAGCAACAACAGTATTGGCAATGGCAATCTAGCAGGACCATGGCAGGAGGCTCCACCAGGATCGATAAGAACCTGCGAGACGAGAAAGCACAAGAACTCCGGGGAAGAAGTGAAGTTAGTAACATGCATTAATGGAACATGAATGAGTGAAGAAAGAGAGAGGAAGGGAGGAGCTCAGTGCACCATGGGAAATCCCCCGATAGTCTAGGCCTATAGCAGCATAACTAAGGGATGGTTCAGGACTCACCTGATCCAGCCCTAACTATAAGCTTTATCAAAGAGGAATGTCTTAAGCCTACTCTTGAATGTGGTGAGGGTTTCTGCCTCCCGAACCACAACTGGAAGCTGGTTCCACAGGAGAGGAGCTTGGTAACTGAAGGCTCTGGCTCCTGTTCTACTTTTAGAGACTATAGGAACCAGAAGTAGCCCAGCATTCAGAGAATGTAGTGTTCTAGAGGGGTAATAGGGTACTATGAGCTCTTTAAGATATGAAGGGGCCTGACCATGAAGAGCTTTATAGGTGAGGAGGAGGATTTTAAATTCTATTCTACATTTTACAGGGAGCCAATGCAGAGAAGCTAGTACAGGAGAGATGTGATCTCTTTTTCTAGTTCCTGTCAGTACTCGTGCTGCAGCGTTCTGAATTAATTGGAGCGTTTTAATGGACTTATTGGGGCAACCTGATAATAAAGAGTTGCAGTAATCCAGTCTTGAAGTAACAAATGCATGGATTAGTTTTTCTGCATCTGTCTGTGACAGTATGTGTCTAATTTTTGTAATATTACGTAAATGAAAGAAGGCAGTCCTAGAGGTCTGCTTTATGTGGGAGTTAAATGACAAATCCTGATCAAAGATAACTCCAAGATTCCTGACAGTGGTGCTAGAGGCCAAGTTAATGCCATCTAGAGTAACTATATCTTTAGACAGTGAGTCTCTAAGGTTTTTGGGGCCAAGAACAAGAATTTCGTTTTTTTCTGAGTTTAACATCAGAAAATTGCAGCTCATCCAGGATTTTATGTCCTTAAGACATGTTTGTAATTTAGATAATTGATTAATTTCATCGGGCTTGATTGATAGATATAACTGCGTATCATCTGCATAACAGTGAAAGTTAATGGAGTGATTCCTAATAATGTTGCCTAAAGGGAGCATATATAAAGTAAATAGTATTGGTCCAAGTACAGAACCTTGTGGAACTCCATGACTAACTGTAGTATTTATTGAAGATTCATCGTTAACATGTACAAACTGCGAGCGATCTGATAAATATGACTTAAACCAGCTTAGTGCAGTTCCTTTAATGCCAATTTGATGCTCAAGTCTCTCTAAAAGAATATTATGGTCAATGGTGTGAAATGCAGCACTAAGATCTAATAATACAAGTACAGAGACAAGTCCATTGTCAGAAGCAGTCAGAAGGTCATTATTAACTTTAACCAGAGCTGTCTCTGTGCTATGATGAACTCTAAATCCTGCCTGAAAATCCTCAAATAAACTATTGTTATGTAGAAAGTCACACAACTCTTTGGCGACCACTTTCTCCAGAATCTTAGAGAGGAAGGGGAGGTTAGAGATCGGTCTATAGTTGGCTAAAACCCCTGGGTCAAGAGTGGGCTTTTTAAGAAGGGGTTTAATTACAGCTACTTTAAAGGACTGTGGTACATATCCTGATAATAAAGAAAGATTAATCATATCCAGTAAAGAAGTGCCAATTAAGGGAACAACTTATTTAAACAGCCTAGTTGGGATTGGGTCTAACAGACAGGTTGATGGCTTCAATGTAGAAATGATTGAAGTTAACTGATGAAGATCGATTGCAGAAAAACAGTCTAAATATATATCTAAGTTTACATTGACAGAAGTCCCTGAACTTGGAGAGCCACTGATAACTGTTGATGGCAGCTGGTGATTAATTTTCTCTCTAATAGTAATAATTTTATTATAGAAGAAGCTCCTGAAGTCATTGCTACTTAAGGTTATGGGGATATGTGGCTCAATAGAGCTGTGACTCTGTCAGCCTGGCTACAGTGCTGAAGAGGAACCTAGGGTATTCTTATTTTCTTCTATTAGTGCTATATCTGAATTCTCAGAGTTTTTATCAAGTTTAGTGTGATTTTAATATTCATGTGGATGTTGACAATGACAGCCTTAGTAACGCATTCATATCATTAATAGACTCAATTGGCTTCTGTCAGAGTGTAAATAAACCAACTCATTGTTTTAATCACACTCTTGACCTTGTTTTATCCTATGGCATTGATATTGAACATTTAATAGTCTTCCCACATAATCCTTTCCTATCTGACCATTATGGAGTTAAAAAACATTCTTGATCATGTAGGTTTAGTCATTTTAAGTGACACTGAATTAATTTTTCTTTGTAAACCGTGATGGTGATATTGTGGGCGGAGCCTAGTTGGTGTCAGAACACAAACACGAGACTGAACACTGTAAAATAAATGACAATCATATTTAATGTCTCACTATATTTGTAATGTTCCTACTTCATGAAGATGCTGTGTCTCAAAGCAACCGTTAGCTTTGTACCGTTGCCATTCTAACACTGTTAGAATACATAAGTTAGCATCATGGGTCAGCTGAGGAAGCTAACGTTAGCCGACTAACATATCCACCAAGATAGTATTTTGCTAGCGAGCTAACATAACGTTATTCAGCGCGGCTAGGTTGCAGCTAAACTTAGCTTGCTTGCTAACGTTATTACGATACATTATGTAATGGCCGTAAGCTGAGGCTAAAATTAGCAAGCTAACGTAGATAATATGAGCTAACACTATCCAGCTAAAGCCAATATCACATATATTCCAGTCTTTGCAGCTATGTTAGCTTTGACTTTGAGCTTTATGTTCCGGTGGGTGTCGGCCGTTTGTGGACATTAGCAAAAGTTCATTTCAACAAAACAACAAGACAATATTTAACTGCAATTCACTTGAATTGTGAAACTGCCTTTATGATGCATTCATTTGAAGAATAATTGATTATTGATTTGAATACAGTGTAAACATCAAATGTAAACAGGGAGACAGATGCTAACAGACCAGGTTGGCTGTTAAAATAATTAAATTAACATGAACTGAGATCAAATTAAGACATTTTTCTGTTGCAGTCTGCTTTAAAACCTTTAAGCATTTAACCACTGAGCTAATGTTTGTTAGCCGCTGAGCTTACCCATCATGTATTTATTTGATTATTTGAGCAGATTGTTTGTGTCCACAGGACGAGACGACCTGTTCACTGATGATGATGATGATGATGATGATGATGTTGATTTATTGTCTTCCTCTCTGGTGGTTGATTTCAGGGAATTAAATAATAAATTATCATTTGTTACATGAAAATAATTTGTTCTGATTCATGTTTTCTGATTTTCTTTCTGTGATTTGAATGTAAATATTCATCATATATATATATATATATATATATATATAATGTAATATGAACATTTTATTAGAAGAATAGATGAATTATATAGAGAGCAATCGGCTGTAAACATGTTTATTTGATTAATGTGGAGCTTTATGAACTCACTGCTGGAGCCTCTTGTTGATGTTAGAGGAACTGCAGCTTCTGACCCGACTGATAGAAGTTCCTCAGACAGGCAGTAAAACACAGCTTATTGATCGGTTAGTGATCGATGACTAAACACTGATTGATATTGATTGATTGTAGTTGTGTAGTGTGTTTCTCCTCATCACATCAGAGCTGAAAGTTCCAAACCAACTCAATTTATGATTTATGGTGTCAGATCAATTTTAACACATCTAAATAAAAGAAGTAAGAACGTAAATTAATCCTCAGAAAAGTTGTTTAAGTGCACTTAAATGTGTTCAGTATTTAAATGATTAGTGATATAATTATTCCGGTTTGTTCCACTCATTTTCTATAAATTGACTTTATATGATTATTATAGATATATAAATTATAGATTATAGATTAGATATTACAGAAACAAGCATTAAAGCGCTGAAAGGTTTTTATTAAACATTAATCATCATAATCTCTACCCAAAGAATTCTTAATGATCAACCAAATTAATTAGCTGCCAATAGATAATCAATGAATAATCAATAGTTTTTATGGTCCGCCAGCTGTTTGACAGGTGATGTAATAATTTGCTTAAGTGGAAGAAAAACAAATTCAACCTGGTAACAATTGTATATAGAAGATGTATTTAAGTGACTTTAGTTGGTCGAGGTAGAGGGGAGGGGATTTACCCCTGAAGAAGAGGGAGTTGTAGTTTGTCACTGTGACCACTAGAGGGCAAAGATTCATGATTATTACTGTTTGTGAACAGGAAGGAAACAGAGAGAAACCAGACAGAAAGACAAAGTGAAGACATCAGATCACATCAGCTTTCTGCTCAGTGTCTCATTTATTGTTCAGCACAACCGCCACCAAACAGCTGCTCAAACTAGTTCAAAATCTGCTGCTTTGCTCATTATCACACTGTGTGTGTTTCCATCTTAAGGTTATGCTTGATTACATGTTGGTGTCTTAGAGATCAGCTGATGATATTCTGCTGTACGTTGGTCCTGGAGAACTACTGCACAGGACGGATCTTCATGCTGATGGACTTCATGGAGTAGTCATAGCCCTTCCAATGGTACCACTCCACTCCAACAGCAAAGATAGTACCATCAGCCCCCCAACGATAAACTCCACTGGGATTTGCATGGTGACAATTATTGTACCAGAATGCCCCTAGGTATAATTTGGCACAGTTCCCGTCTGAGGAGTCCTGGTCTTTGTCGAAGGTGGAGAACTTCTGTCCGTTGTGATAACTCAAGCTGTCTCCTATAGACACACAGTAAGTGTGTAATCAGAACATTATGATACAACTGACAGTGGAACATTTTACACCTGTACTGTTGCTGTTCAGGAACTCACACAGCTTCACACACTCACCCAGTACAACCAGTACAACCGGTACAGCCGGTGCCCAGTACAACCACAGTCCACTGTCCACTGACATATTACTACTAACACAACTACTGAACTAATTAAAACAATATATTCACATATTGAGTCAGACAGCACAGGATGCAACTGAGTGAACACGAGTTAGTATGTGAGCAGAAAGGTTGGAACAGTTCACTATTAACAGATGAATAAAATGATGTGGAGTTGATGCTGGGTACTAGTACTCCTACAAATAGTACTGATGGTTCTGTTACTGCTGCAGCTGCAGTAACAACCTGAAGTCTGTTCAGATACAGAAAGCTGAGACCTGCAAAACACAAATGATTTATTTTTCTCTTAAATTTGTTCATAAAAACTGAATTAGAGAAAAATAAATAAAACCATACTGTGATGCATCAATAGCTCTGCAGGGATCTGTCACTAACCAGGTACACTGACAGGATCCTCACTCATTGTATAATCACTGATTGAAGTGTTTCAAATTAAACAACATATGTATATAAAGTAAAAGAGTGTGTATAGTACACTGTACACTATGTAAATATCCTAATATTTAAAGCTTTAAATTGTAATATTTATTATACTATTATTTATTAAGTGTCAGTGCCATATAAAAAATAAATAATGTCAGTCTCTGAGAGTGTCAGTGACACTTTCCATCAGTCTGACAGTTTCAGAAGAACTAACCCAATGTTAAACTGCGTTCAGGAGCTGCTCCTCGTTATCTGGACCAAAGTATCAGAGGATTGTTGTCTCTTGTATAAAACAACATCTGCTAATATTAACTCACCTGCCCCTCCATCAGTGAATCCAGACACATGCAGTGTGTATCCGAAGGACTCTGGGTCGATGGAGAATGAGGAGTAACGAGCGAACACTTTGTTTCCCTCGAAGTCCTCCATGTCGACCAGCAGCTCGTTCTTTGTCCTCAGAGTCAGGTGGAAGAGAGTCTCAAGACCTGGAAACAAACACACACAGAAACATCTAGAAACAGTTTCAGGAAGTCACATGACTGTTAGTTTGGTTCCATTTCTCACCGAGCCAGTACTCTCCAGCAGCGCTACCGAAGCCCGTCTTGTACTGGTCCCAGGGTCTGTAGAAGTTCACCGAGCCGTCCATCCTCCTCTGGAACACCTGGGGGGGTTAAACACACAAGATATCTGATAGCTCGTGATTTACTGGCATGATTTATTGTGAAGGTCCTACAGGAAGTGTTCACAGTGAAAGTCACTTGGTTGTGACTCAATGACGCTGACTCACCGTCCACTGTCCTCCTTCTGAGTCCATGTCACAGTACACCTACACACAGGCATACTCATTAGTAAATGTGAAACTTTGGCTACAACTACATCCAATGTACTACAACCAGTACTAGTACTACTACACCGCCCGCCCAACTGCAACAAGAGCTTTATTGTCTATGGGTTGTCCCAGAGAGGATGAGGTACCTGGACAGCAGACGTGGCTCCGATGGGATAGATGGTGTACACTCCACTGGGTCGGCTGTTGTCACTATTATAGATGTCGCTGCAGTCCACTGGGAGGAAGAACTGCTGGCAGCTGGTCATTACTGGAGCCAGGAGGAGGAGGACTGATAGCAGCTGGAACAGAGGAGATGTTTGTACACAGCATTGTACTGAAACCATACCCAATGTGGTTATTTAGCCAGGCTCCTTGCACATTGAACCTGAGCTGGTGTCTTTCCCAAACAGAGGGAATTTCTAATGTCTGTAATATCTATCCAGAGATAACATAAACTCATTTAATTCAAACATGTGTAAGGTAGCGTTAGGCAGCCAGAGAGGATAAAGACTTGGAGGGAAGCTCTGAATAGTGTTAAGTGCTACATACAGAAACTGTGACAAACAATATTTTAAATAAGCTGCTAACAAACTAAAACTACTGATAAACACTTAGTTAGTTACAAACTTACCTTCATGTTCAGATTTCTGCTGAATTGAGCTGATGGAAATCCTGATGTCAGTGTCTCTGGATGTTCTGATGTCTCTGATGTGTCTCTCTCTTATTTATAATCCAAAGATTAATAAATAACTGAACAGCTGCTGGTTCACACCGATAAGACTCATTCTGTATGTCATTGACTGTGTGTGTCTAGGAGGAGTTCACTGCTGCACACGTCTCCATAAACTTCAGAAACTGTCATTTGACAGGCGTATCTCCCTCCGCTGCTCATGTCCGGTTTACTTCCTGCTCTGTGCAATATCATCCATCTGCAGCCACAAATGGGCGTTCTCGTGCTGGTGGGGGTTCCTGTTTTCGCTGACTGGAACGCCCCCTTCTTCTTCGCCTTTCTTGCTGAACTGTAACTGTCAACATCCGGTTTAATATAACATTTGCTAGTTAGTGTTTCTCAACAGAAGTTTCAAAATAAGATCTAGTAGTCTGTAAATGTATTATAGAACTAATGTTAGCAAGCTAAGCCATCTACAGAACGTTAGTCCAATTACATCTTAATATGCTTACATTTACGTGTAGGACTAGTCTATATTTCTACGAGTTGTTGAGGACAACTCATACTTTGCACGTGACGTCACAACTACTGGCTGGCGGGCAAGAACATCGTTCTCCAGCAATGAAACCCAGTAAACTAATCAAGGATCTTGCCAGGACTTCGGTGTTTCCCCTGGCATTCATTCAGCGGAGGCGGAGAAACAGCGCTGCGCTTGCTTTCACCCAAGTAAATTAAAACTACCAACAATTGCATTGTTTTATTCAATGATCTGGTGTTGTAATTATCTACGAGGTTTTGCAACATGGCCCACCCATCAAAATAAATGCTTTTATTCTTTTATACGTCATAACGTCGTACTACGTACTGAACGGAAAAGCCAAGGGAATGATTTCCTCATGTGATTATTTGACATATAACACGCTGTAATTCAAGTCCTTGTATGGAATTTGTCAAACTAAATAAACGTCCATATCCAAAATCAAGATCACTGTGATTGTTTTCTGACTTAAATTACGTCTATTAAATCTACTTCATTCGAAATTAACTATAATAGACAGATGAAGTCGGCGTTTCTTGCCCGCCAGGTATCCATGGTAACCACATGACTGCAAAGTATGAATTGCGATTGGTCGATGAAAGGCTACCTGGAACGCCCAATAGGCGTTCTTGTGTCATGACGGGAACGCCCAAGCTGCAGCTGGACCCTTCTCGCTCTGTGTACACTGTTTGGTGCTGTAGCTCTGTCCAGTGAACGCTAAATCTAAATTTGTTTTACTCGTTTGCTTAACGATTAAACATAGACTCGTTCTATCTAAACACTCGGAGTTACTCCTTCTTTTAGCGACTTTTCGCTATTTTCAAAAGTTTTTCATACACTCTAGCTTCATTAGCATTAGCAGTTAGCTATGGCTTCTCCCTCTCCCTCTGCTCTGTCCTGCTCAGTGTGTCAGATGTTCAGTTATTCCTCTGCCTTCTTTAATGATAATGGTACATGTATTAAGTGTAGTTTATTTACTGTGCTGGAGGCGAGGCTTAGTGAGTTAGAGGAACAGTACCGCACCACGGAGATATCTTTAGTCGCAATAGTTAGCCAGCCCCCAGTAGCCGGTGTGGTCCGACCGAAGGTAGCTTCTGCTAGCCGTCCTGCGGTAGTTCCCCCGGTAGTTCCCGAGCAGCCAGGAAGACAGGGACAGTGGGTGAATGTTCGGAGGAAGAATAAAACGCCGAAGCCCACAGTTCACCACCAGCCCATTCATGTTTCTAATACATTTTCCCCACTCAGCGACACACCCGCTGAGGAACCAACTCTGGTTGTTGGCAGCTCTATAGTCAGAAACGTGAAGTTTGCGAAGCCAGCGGCCATAGTTAAATGTATCCCTGGGGCCAGAGCGGGCGACGTTGAATCATATTTAAAACTGCTGGCTAAAGATAAATGTAAATATAGTAAGATTGTTATCCAAGTTGGCGGTAATGACACCCGTTTACGCCAATCGGAGGTCACTAAGATTAATGTGGAGTCGGTGTGTAATTATTCTAAGACTATGTCGGACTCCGTAGTTTTCTCTGGACCCCTGCCCAATGTGACCAGTGATGACATGTATAGCCTCATGTCGTCATTCCACCGCTGGCTGTCGAGGTGGTGTCCAGAAAACAATGTGGGCTTCATTGATAACTGGAAGCCTTTTTGGGGAAAACCTGGTCTGATTAGGAGAGACGGCATCCATCCCACTTTGGATGGAGCCGCTCTCTTATCTAGGAATATGGCGATGTTTATTTCTAAAACCTGACAGTCCAGAGTTGGGACCAGGAAGCAGAGCTGCTGTCTTACACACTTCTCTACGCTTTCTTTAGAACAGTCACCCACCCAAAACCCCATAGAGACTGTGTCTGTCCCCCGACCACCTAAATTATTTAAAGAAATAAAAACAAGTTTAACATAAAAATCTAATAAAATTAGAACCAACTCCTCAGTAGCACAAAATAAGAGAATGAAATGTTGTTGTCCAATGAGGAGTATGTTAGCCTAAATTAATCCACCCCCCCCAGTCATATTAATATTCACATTCCTCGAGGCACTGGCCAAGGAGGTGGAGTAGCAGCCATATATGATTTGAGCGTTTTAATGGACACCCTAAACCTAAACTAAATTATAATTCATTTGAAAGCCTTGTTCTTAGTCTTTCTCACCCATCCTGGAAAACACTGCAGCCAGTTCTATTTGTTATAGTGTACCGCGCTCCTGGACCGTACTCACAGAGTTTTTATCAAGTTTAGTCCTTAAATCAGATAAAGTAATTATTGTAGGTGATTTTAATATTCATGTGGATGTTAACAATGACAGCCTTAGTAATGCATTTATATCATTAATAGACTCAATTGGCTTCTGTCAGAGTGTAAATAAACCAACTCATTGTTTTAATCACACTCTTGACCTTGTTCTATCATATGGCATTGATATTGAACATTTAATAGTCTTCCCACATAATCCTTTCCCATTATTTAATAACTTTTAATTCATACTATTAGATTATAAGCCATTAGGCAAAACTTCCTACAGCAGATGTCTATCTGACAGTGCTGTAGCTAAATTTAAGGAGGAGATTCCTTCAGTGTTTAATTCAATGCCATGTCTGAATTTAACAGAGTCCTATAACGACTTTAGTCCCTCTGAAATTGATAATCTTGTTGATAGTGCTGCAGGCTCACTACGATCAACATTAGACTCTATCGCTCCTATAAAAAGGAAATTATTAAAACATAGGAAACTAGCACCGTGGTGCAACCACCAAACCCGCCAATTAAAATAAATAGCTAGGAAATCTGAAAGGAAATGGCGCTCTTCCAAATTATCAGAATATCGCTCAAATTGGCAAGATAATCTTAAAACTTATAGAAAGGCCCTCCGTAATGCCAGAGGAGCCTATTACTCAGCACTAATAGAAGAAAATAAGAATAACCCTAGGTTCCTCTTCAGCACTGTAGCCAGGCTGACAGAGAGTCACAGCTCTATTGAGCCACATATCCCCATAAACTTAAGTAGCAATGACTTCATGAGCTTCTTCTATAATAAAATTATTACTATTAGAGAGAAAATTAATTCAATTCAATTCAATTTTATTTGTATAGCGCCAATTCATAACAGAAGTTATCTCAGGACACTTTAATCACCAACTGCCATCAACAGTTATCAGTGGCTCTCCAAGTTCAGGAACTTTAACTAATGTAGATATATATTAAGACTGTTTTTCTGCAATCGATCTTCATCAGTTAACTTCAATCATTTCTACATTGAAGCCATCAACCTGTCTGTTGGACCCAATCCCAACTAGGCTGTTTAAATAAGTTGTTCCCTTAATTGGCACTTCTTTACTGGATATGATTAATCTTTCTTTATTATCAGTATATGTACCACAGTCCTTTAAAGTAGCTGTAATTAAACCCCTTCTTAAAAAGCCCACTCTTGACCCAGGGGTTTTAGCCAACTATAGACCGATCTCTAACCTCCCCTTCCTCTCTAAGATTCTGGAGAAAGTAGTCGCCAAAGAGTTGTGTGATCTTTTACATAACAATAGTTTATTTGAGGATTTTCAGTCAGGATTTAGAGTTCACAGCACAGAGACAGCTCTGGTTAAAGTTAATTATGACCTTTTGATTGCTTCAGACAATGGACTTGTCTCTGTACTTGTATTATTTGATCTTAGTGCTGCATTTGACACTATTGACCATAATATTCTTTTACAGAGACTTTGTCACAGTTTCTGATCAAATTGGCATTAAAGGAACCGCACTAAGCTGGTTTAAGTCATATTTATCAGATCGTTAGCAGTTTGTACATGTTAACGATGAATCCTCAATAAATACCACAGTTAGTTATGGAGTTCCACAAGGTGCTGTACTTGGACCAATGCTATTTACTTTATATATGCTCCCTTTAGGCAACATTATTAGGAATCACTCCATTAACTTTAACTGTTATGCAGATGATACGCAGTTATATCTATCGATCAAGACAGATTAAATTAATCAATTATCTAAATTACAAACATGTCTTAAGGACATAAAATCCTGGATGAGCTGCAATTTTCTGATGTTAAACTCAGAAAAAAATGAAATTCTTAGAGAAAAACCTTAGAGACTCACTGTCTACAGATGTAGTTTCTCTGGATGGCATTACTTTAAAACGCTGCAGCACGAGTACTGACAGGAACTAGGAAAGGAGATCACATCTCTCCTGTACTAGATTCTCTGCACTGGCTCCCTGTAAAATTCCCTGTAAAATTGGGAGAGAGACAGACAGACAGACAGACAGGTGCACAGCAACAACAGTATTGGTAATGGCAATCTAGCAGGACCATGGCAGGAGGCTCCACCAGGATCGATAAGAACCTGCGAGATGAGAAAGCACAAGAACTCCGGGGAAGAAGTGAAGTTAGTAACATGCATTAATGGGACATGAATGAGTGCAGAAAGAGAGAGGAAGAGAGGAGCTCAGTGCACCATGGGAAATCCCCCAATAGTCTAGGCCTATAGCAGCATAACTAAGGGATGGTTCAGGACTCACCTGATCCATCCCTCACTATAGGCTTTATCAAAGAGGAATGTCTTAAGCCTACTCTTGAATGTGGTGAGGGTGTCTGCCTCCTGAACCACAACTGGAAGCTGATTCCACAAGAGAGGAGCTTGGTAACTAAAGGCTCTGGCTCCTGTTCTACTTTTAGAGACTATAGGAACCACAAGTAGCCCAGCATTCAATTCAATTCAATTCAATTCAATTTTATTTGTATAGCGCCAATTCATAACAGAAGTTATCTCAGGACACTTTTCAAATAGAGCAGGTCTAGACCGAACTCTTTAAAACATTAATTACAGAGACCCAACAGTACCACCATGAGCAAGCACTTGGCGACAAGGGCAAGGAAAAACTGCCTGTTAAAAGGCAGAAACCTAGGACAGGTCCTCCGGCTCTAGGTGGGTGGTCGTCTGTCTCGACCAGTTGGGGTGAGAGAGAGAGAGAGAGAGAGAGAGAGAGGCAGAGAGAGAGAGAGAGCGAGAGACAGACAGACGGACAGGTGCACAGCAACAACAGTATTGGCAATGGCAGTCAAGCAGGACCATGGCAGGAGGCTCCACCAGGATCCATGAGAACCTGCGAGACAAGAAAGCACAAGAAGAAGTGAAGTTAGTAACATGCATTAATGGGACATGAATGAGTGTAGAAAGAGAGAGGAAGAGAGTAGCTCAGTGCACCATGGGAAATCCCCCGATAGTCTAGGCCTATAGCAGCATAACTAAGGGATGGTTCGGGACTCACCTGATCCAGCCCTAACTATAAGCTTTATCAAAGAGGAATGTCTTAAGCCTACTCTTGAATGTGGTGAGGGTGTCTGCCTCCCGAACCACAACTGGAAGCTGGTTCCACAGGAGAGGAGCTTGGTAACTGAAGGCTCTGGCTCCTGTTCTACTTTTAGAGACTATAGGAACCACAAGTAGCCCAGCATTCAGAGAACGTAATGTTCTAGTGGGGTAATAGGGTACTATGAGCTCTTTAAGATATGAAGGGGCCTGACCATGAAGAGCTTTATAGGTGAGGAGGAGGATTTTAAATTCAATTCTACATTTTACAGGGAGCCAATGCAGAGAAGCTAGTACAGGAGAGATGTGATCTCTTTTTCTAGTTCCTGTCAGTACTCGTGCTGCAGCGTTCTGAATTAATTGGAGCGTTTTAATGGAGTTATTGGGGCAACCTGATAATAAAGAGTTGCAGTAATCCAGCCTTGAAGTAACAAATGCATGGATTAGTTTTTCTGCATCTGTCTGTGATAGTATGTGTCTAATTTTTCTAATATTACGTAAATGAAAGAAGGCGGTCCGAGAGGTCTGCTTTATGTGGGAGTTAAATGACAAATCCTGATCAAAGATAACTCCAAGATTCCTGACAGTGGTGCTAGAGGCCAAGTTAATGCCATCTAGAGTGACTATATCTTTAGACAATGAGTCTCTAAGGTTTTTGGGGCCAAGAACAAGAATTTCGTTTTTTTCTGAGTTTAACATCAGAAAATTGCAGGTCATCCAGGATTTTATGTCCGTAAGACATGTTTGTAATTTAGATAATTGATTAATTTCATTGGGTTTGATTGATAGATATAACTGCGTATCATCTGCATAACAGTGAAAGTTAATGGAGTGATTCCTAATAATGTTGCCTAAAGGGAGCATATATAAAGTAAATAGTATTGGTCCAAGTACAGAACCTTGTGGAACTCCATGACTAACTTTAGTATTTATGGAGGATTCATCGTTAACATGTACAAACTGAGAACGATCTGATAAGTATGACTTAAACCAGCTTAGGGCAGTTCCTTTAATGCCAATTTGATGCTCAAGTCTCTGTAAAAGAATATCATGGTCAATGGTGTCAAATGCAGCACTAAGATCTAATAATACAAGTACAGAGACAAGTCCATTGTCAGAAGCAGTCAGAAGGTCATTATTAACTTTAACCAGAGCTGTCTCTGTGCTATGATGAACTCTAAATCCTGACTGAAAATCCTCAAATAAACTATTGTTATGTAGAAAGTCACACAACTCTTTGGCGACTACTTTCTCCAGAATCTTAGAGAGGAAGGGGAGGTTAGAAATCGGTCGATAGTTGGCTAAAACCCCTGGGTCAAGAGTGGACTTTTTAAGAAGGGGTTTAATTACAGCCACTTTAAAGGACTGTGGTACATATCCTGATAATAAAGAAAGATTAATCATATCCAGTAAAGAAGTGCCAATTAAGGGAACAACTTCTTTAAGCAGCCTAGTTGGGATCGGGTCTAACAGACAGGTTGATGGCTTCGATGAAGAAATGATTGAAGTTAACTGATGAAGATCGATAGCAGAAAAACAGTCTAAATATATATCTAAGTTTACATTAACAGAAGTCCCTGAACTTGGAGAGCTACTGATAACTGTTGATGGCAGTTGGTGATTAATTTTTTCTCTAATAGTAATAATTTTATTATAGAAGAAGCTCATGAAGTCATTGCTACTTAAGTTTATGGGGATATGTGGCTCAATAGAGCTGTGACTCTCTGTCAGCCTGGCTACAGTGCTGAAGAGGAACCTAGGGTTGTTCTTATTTTCTTCTATTAGTGCTGAGTAATAGGCTCCTCTGGCATTACGGAGGGCCTTTCTATAGGTTTTAAGATTATCTTGCCAAATTGAGCGATATTCTGATAATTTGGAAGAGCGCCATTTCCTTTCAGATTTTCTAGCTATTTGTTTTAACTGGCGGGTTTGGTGGTTATACCAGGGTGCTAGTCTCCTATGTTTTAATTATTTCCTTTTTATAGGAGCGATAGAGTCTAATGTTGATCGTAGTGAGCCTGTAGCACTATCGACAAGATTATCAATTTCAGAGGGACTAAAGTCATTATAGGACTCTGTTAAATTCAGACATGGCATTGAATTAAACACTGAAGGAATCTCCTCCTTAAATTTAGCTACAGCACTGTCAGATAGACATCTGCTGTAGGAAGTTTTGCCTAATGGCTTATAATCTAATAGTATGAATTCAAAAGTTATTAAATAATGGTCAGATAGGAAAGGATTATGTGGGAAGACTATTAAATGTTCAATATCAATGCCATATGATAAAACAAGGTCAAGAGTGTGATTAAAACAATGAGTTGGTTTATTTACACTCTGACGGAAGCCAATTGAGTCTATTAATGAGATAAATGCGTTACTAAGGCTGTCATTGTTAACATCCACATGAATATTAAAATCACCTACAATAATTACTTTATCTGATTTAAGAACTAAACTTGATAGAAACTCTGAGAATTCAGATATAAAATCAGAGTACGGTCCAGGAGTGCGGTACACTATAACAAATAGAACTGGCTGCAGTGTTTTCCAGTTTGGGTGAAAAAGACTAAGAACAAGGCTTTCAAATGAATTATAATTTAGTTTAGGTTTAGGGTCCATTAAAACGCTCGAATCATATATGGCTGCCACTCCACCTCCTCGGCCTGTGCCTCGAGGAATGTGAGTATTAATATGACTGGGGGGGTGGATTCATTTAGGCTAACATACTCCTCGTGGGACAACCAGGTCTCAGTAAGACAAAGTAAATCAATATCATAATCTGATATTAATTCGTTCACTAAAACAGCTTTAGAGGACAGAGACCTGATATTTAACAGCCCACATTTCATTCTCTTATTTTGTGCTACCGAGGAGTTGGTTTTAATTTTTATTAGATTTTTATGTTGAACTCCTCTTTTTTTATTTCTTTAAATAATTTAGGTGGTCGGGGGACAGACACAGTCTCTATGGGGTTTTGGGTGGGTGACTGTTCTAAAGAAAGAGCAGAGAAGTGTGTAAGACAGCAGCTCTGCTTCCAGGTCCTAACTCTGGACTGTCAGGTTTTAGAGATAAACTTCGCCATATTTCTAGATAAGAGAGCCGCTCCATCCAAAGTGGGATGGATGCCGTCTCTCCTAATCAGACCAGGTTTTCCCCAAAAAGGCTTCCAGTTATCAATGAAGCCCACATCGTTTGCTGGACACCACCTCGACAGCCAGCGGTGGAATGACGACATGCAGCTATACATGTCATCACTGGTCACATTGGGCAGGGGTCCAGAGAAAACTACGGAGTCCGACATTGTCTTAGCATAATTACACACCGACTCCACATTAATCTTAGTGACCTCCGATTGGCGTAAACGGGTGTCATTACCGCTGACGTGGATAACGAAGGGGCCTGACCATGAAGAGCTTTATAGGTGAGGAGGAGGATTTTAAATTCTATTCTACATTTTACAGGGAGCCAGTGCAGAGAAGCTAGTACAGGAGAGATGTGATCTCTTTTTCTAGTTCCTGTCAGTACTCGTGCTGCAGCGTTCTGAATTAATTGGAGCGTTTTAATGGAGTTATTGGGGCAACCTGATAATAAAGAGTTGCAGTAATCCAGCCTTGAAGTAACAAATGCATGGATTAGTTTTTCTGCATCTGTCTGTGATAGTATGTGTCTAATTTTTCTAATATTACGTAGATGAAAGAAGGCAGTCCTAGAGGTCTGCTTTATGTGGGAGTTAAATGACAAATCCTGATCAAAGATAACTCCAAGATTCCTGACAGTGGTGCTAGAGGCCAAGTTAATGCCATCTAGAGTAACTATATCTTTAGACAGTGAGTCTCTAAGGTTTTTGGGGCCAAGAACAAGAATTTCGTTTTTTTCTGAGTTTAACATCAGAATATTGCAGGTCATCCAGGATTTTATGTCCTTAAGACATGTTTGTAATTTAGATAATTGATTAATTTCATCGGGCTTGATTGATAGATATAACTGCGTATCATCTGCATAACAGTGAAAGTTAATGGAGTGATTCCTAATAATGTTGCCTAAAGGGAGCATATATAAAAGTAAATAGTATTGGTCCAAGTACAGAACCTTGTGGAACTCCATGACTAACTGTAGTATTTATTGAAGATTCATCGTTAACATGAACAAACTGCGAGCGATCTGATAAATATGACTTAAACCAGCTTAGTGCTGTTCCTTAAATGCCAATTTGATGCTCAAGTCTCTGTAAAAGAATATTATGGTCAATGGTGTCAAATGCAGCACTAAGATCTAATAATACAAGTACAGAGACAAGTCCATTGTCAGAAGCAGTCAGAAGGTCATTATTAACTTTAACCAGAGCTGTCTCTGTGCTATGATGAACTCTAAATCCTGACTGAAAATCCTCAAATAAACTATTGTTATGTAGAAAGTCACACAACTCTTTGGCGACTACTTTCTCCAGAATCTTAGAGAGGAAGGGGAGGTTAGAAATCGGTCTATAGTTGGCTAAAACCCCTGGGTCAAGAGTGGGCTTTTTAAGAAGGGGTTTAATTACAGCTACTTTAAAGGACTGTGGTACATATCCTGATAATAAAGAAAGATAATAAAGGAGTGACTGTAGTAGTCTCAATAAACATACACACACACCAGTACAGGTGCAGTTGGGTTCAGGTGAGGTCACACCTGTCGCACTTGAACTGAAGCCCATGTGATGGTGGTAAATGTGCTAAAACGTTAGCATGTTAGCATTGTGACTGTGAGCATGTCAGCATGCTGATGTTAGCATTTAGCTGTTGTTCTGCAGAGACTTAAAGCAGAAAGTATTCACAGCTTCAGAAACATGATTCATTGAACCAAAGAGCAGAGAAAGGTCAGAGCTGAACAGCTGCTGGTTCACACCGATAAGACTCATTCTGTACGTCCCTCACTGTGTGTGTCTGTGGGTTATACAACGTTGGCACCCAAACCTGACTCACCACCACGTTGATATCTGAGGGCTGTTGCCAGGGCCGGAGTGGGGTTGGAAACACTGGGGAAACAGAACACCTGTGTTCCCCTTTGAGGACTGAGGTTGTGAAATTGTACTGGTGGGGCCAGGTGTGGTCTGGTTCAACCATCAGAACTAAAGATCAACAACAGTGTTAGATATTGTTTTATTAGATATTGTTTCATTAAATATTGTTTTATTAGATATTGTTTTATTAGATAATGTTTTATTATATATTGTTTTATTAAAAAATTTTTTATTAGATATTGTTTTATTAAATATTGTTTTAATACATAATGTTTTATTACATAATGTTTTATTACATAATGTTTTATTAGATAATGTTTAATTAAATAATGTTTTATTAGATATTGATTTATTAGATAATGTTTCATTGGATAATGTTTTATTAGATAATGTTTTATTAGATAATGTTTTATTAAATAATGTTTTATTAATTATTGTTTTATTAGATAATGTTTTATTAGATAATGTAGCCTGTGGACATAAAAACTGAAGGACAGAAGTCCACTCCAACTCCCAGGGCATTTCTTCCAAGCTTCACATCCTGTGATGTGTGCTGCCAACGACAGGTGGAAGCTGAATATGTTGGTGTCATGTAGAGTAGTTAAACGCCCCCTTGTGGACGTCTGTGGTAAAATCCTCTATCTAGCAGCACAATTCAATTCAGTTCAATTCAATTTTATTTGTATAGCGCCAATTCATAACAGAAGTTATCTCAGGACACTTTTCAAATAGAGCAGGTCTAGACCGAACTCTTTAAAACATTAATTACAGAGACCCAACAGTACCACCATGAGCAAGCACTTGGCGACAAGGGCAAGGAAAAACTGCCTGTTAAAAGGCAGAAACCTAGGACAGATCCTCCGGCTCTAGGTGGGTGGTCGTCTGTCTCGACCAGTTGGGGTGAGAGAGAGAGAGAGAGAGAGAGAGAGAGAGAGAGCGACAGACAGACAGACAGGTGCACAGCAACAACAGTATTGGCAATGGCAATCTAGTAGGGCCATGGCAGGAGGCTCCACCAGGATCGACAAGAACCTGCGAGACGAGAAAGCACAAGAACTCCGGGGAAGAAGTGAAGTTAGTAACATGCATTAATGGAACATGAATGAGTGCAGAAAGAGAGAGGAAGAGAGGAGCTCAGTGCACCATGGGAAATCCCCCGATAGTCTAGGCCTATAGCAGCATAACTAAGGGATGGTTCAGGACTCACCTGATCCAGCCCTAACTATAAGCTTTATCAAAGAGGAATGTCTTAAGCCTACTCTTGAATGTGGTGAGGGTGTCTGCCTCCCGAACCACAACTGGAAGCTGGTTCCACAGGAGAGGAGCTTGGTAACTGAAGGCTCTGGCTCCTGTTCTACTTTTAGAGACTATAGGAACCACAAGTAGCCCAGCATTCAGAGAACATAGTGTTCTAGTGGGGCAATAGGGTACTATGAGCTCTTTAAGATATGAAGGGGCCTGACCATGAAGAGATTTATAGGTGAGGAGGAGGATTTTAAATTCTATTCTACATTTTACAGGGAGCCAATGCAGAGAAGCTAACAGCACAGTGGCTCTAACAAGCAGTTGGTAAAGTTTGTTTTATATTACCCTGTAAAGTCTGCAAAGACACATTTCTCCTGCAACACAGCAGCAATTTGACCTCACCAGTTTGTGATAGTGTTTGATGTGGCAGAGACTGTGATCTTTATACCTGTGAGGGAATATTTCACAGTTTAACACAGATAACTATTTAAATGAACAACTGGAACGTATTTATGTAACTTTATTTCTGCTGATATTAGTAATCCAGTAAAGAGTGACGAACCAGTCCTGTCTGTCTGTCCGTCTGTCTGTCTGCGTGATGTGGATTAGTTTTTTTTACTTCAAAGGCCAAAATGCAAAATTAATCTTTATGAAACAAAAAAAAAACTATTTTTAAGGATCCATAATACACTGTTTTTGGACTATATTACTATATTATGTGTTAATAATACTGACTAGGCATTAGTGCCTTGCAAAGTGCATAGGGAGCTTGTAGAAGAGGTTCTACAAAATGATGCTCTAAATGAAGTTAATCATTAAAATTAAAAATTTTATTTCAATTTATTGTCATATTTCATTATTTTCCAATTTATTCTTTCCTGTTTACATTTTTAATTTTTTTATTTCTGTTTTTATTCACCCAATGAAGGGTTCTGTATGTGATCATTAACATATAGTAATAAATAAACTAATAAATAAATAAACTAAATAAATTACTAAACACAAAGAGAATAAACTGTAAAATAAATGTTTATTATTTCTATTTCTCTGTATTTTTTTTTATTAATCTGCACAGTATTATTATTATTATTTCTACGTTTCTGTCTTCATGTGATATTTATTGACTTAAATCAATATTTTATATAATAACTATAACGGCAGCTTTAGTCCTCCATAGATTTCACTCATTATGTCGTTCCCGCCCATTTAATGAGCACAAACAGTAATCAGTGACTTCTTGTTGGGCTTTTATTTACAGAAGTCCCTTCCTGTTTGACGGCTCAGGACAGGAAGTGACAAACTGACACACACACACACACAGAGGGAGTTCTGGGTGATCAATAGCTGTGATCAGAGGTAGCCCTCTGAGTTGCTTCCTGTTGCCATCCAAATAAAAGACTACTGACTTTATAAATACATACAAACATTAATAAAATTACAGAAATATCCTGTAAATTCACATGTTTAAAAAGATCAAATCTATAATTTATTTACAGATTTATTGTTTATTTAATATATTAAATTGTTAAATTACAGTTTAATACTGTTAATATATTTATAATATTATATAAAATCAGTGACATTAACAGTAAAAGTATTAGTTGTGTAATTTTAATGTATTAGTTAGTTAACTGACAGATATGTTGTATAATGATGGAAGTTGAATAAATGTTGTTTATCAGTGTATAAGGTAAACTGTCCAAATACAGTTGTTATCAGTGTAAACAGCAATAATCACTGTAATCTCACAGATCACCGATTCTTGAAACTTTGGCAAAGACATGTCCCACTAAGAGAAGTGCTAATTCTGTTGGAAATGAATAATATTTTCATGAATAAAAAGAATCAAGGTCATAGTCAGGGGGTCCTTTGCACATATGTAAGGTTTTTTATAGGTTTACTTTTAATTTGTATTAATTTAATGATTATATGCTGGCCCATTGCCTACAAAAAAAATCATTTCAGCTCGATTAAAAAAACAAAAAGTAATAATTGAATTGAATAATATCTTTACGACATGAAAGAGTACATTGTAATATGTATTAAAAACTACAAACAGTGAGTTTTGAGCAATATTTACTATTATTTTGTGGTTGCTCAAAATGTGTCCCACATATTCGTCACAACCGTCAGATAGTTATAAAAAGCAATACAATCAGGCAACTACAAGGTCAACTACATTCCTGAGGACCCCGTTTTCAAACCTTCAGCTCTACTGCATGCTTCAAGATCACTCAAGCTCCCATAAGTTTGTTATTTTCTCTTAAACTTGTTCATATTTTTGGACACTGCTAATGTCACAACCATAACAACACCGTCTCTTTTGTATAAAAAATATTCGATTAGATTATGACATAAAAGTTGACATTTTTAAAGAAGAGGTCTGAAGTAGCTAGCAACAGAGGGAAAATAAGATGGCTGATGTGAACAACTCATGCATATCATGTGAAAGAGTAGGTTTTTGTCACTACCGTCAGACGTCACCACCGTCTGACGGTAGTGACAAAAACCTCCAAATGGTCCTCAACGGAGGATAGAATATAATTGTTGATCTGTAATGTTTCATTAACCTCTTTTATATTTTTATTTATGTAATTCCCCCTATATTTCTTCCATATCGCACAACCCTAGGGGATGAGGTGTGCCTTCCCTCTCTCTCAATTCACTATTATGCCACGTTAATTTGGCTTACGTCATTTGGGATGAACAGTGCGCCTACTACCTACCTACATAGCACATAGTATACAATATCCCTCGTAGGCTATGCATCTCAAATGACTAAAGCCAAATAAAAATGGCATGACAACATTTAACCAAATCTAACATTCACTGTAATTCCCCCCAATTTCATAGTCATTACACTCAACTTTAATGTATTTTAAGAAGTTATGGCTAAGCAGCAGCTATCTGTGGAGGAGAGAAGGAGAAGAAACAGGGACTATCAAAAGAAGCATAGAGAGAAAACACACAGTGATGCAGAGTTAAAGGAGGAATACCTCAGAACGGAAAGCAAAGATGGAAGAAGAGGGTGAAGGAAGGGAAGATAAAAAATATCAATGACTTGAATGAAAGGGAAAAGAGAAGTCAGAGAAAGGCTTGGAAACGTAGACATATTCTGGTGGAAACCTGTGGAACCGTCATCACCAGGTCGTGTAAGCAGGACGAGGAAGATATACAACCTGTCTGCTGAAGTCATGGACTTCATAGAGGAGAAACATATACACCATGATAAAGCTAAATGAGTGGTGGAGTGGTGTAAAACAGTCAGGGAATACTCACAGGAGTTCAGAAATTATTATTATTTTTGTGCCAGATGTGTTTTGTGGTATTTACACAGAATGCTTTCTGTATTTTGAAACATTTCAGTTTATGGAAAAGAGACTGTAAGACGTAGTTATTCATTTATCAGTTCTTCACGTCCAATATACAGTTTATAGACTAGTTTACAGAAGAATATGATCTATATTATTTTATGAGTGGGGGGCACTACATGACAGTTAAATATGAGGTCAGTGATGAATTCTATCTTATTGCTACTGGTAATGATTTCTTTTTTACTTATGATGATTATTAAGGGGTACTTTTATTAATGATAGCCTATTGCTAATTGAACATGTTTCTTTTTGAATGTTTGCAACATATATAGTTACAGTACAGTTTACAGTCCAGTTTACAGAAGAATATACTGTATAGTTTTATGAGTAGGGGACACTAGACGACAGTTTAAGATGATGTCAGTGATGCATTATACATTATTCCTACTGGTAATTACTTTAGTTTTTACTATGATGATTTGATATTTGATGACGTGGGGATGGGGTACTTTTAATAATGATATTGTTTAATTGTACCTTATATTCCTTGAAAAATGTTTGTCACAGTGATCAGGATTGTTATTTTTTGGACCAAATAGTTAAATAAAGTTGATAAGCAAGAAGCCATTAGCTTGAGTTGTATACATTTTGGAATTGTATGTTGTAATGAGGCCACTGTCACCACCGTCAGATTAGTGTCACCACCGTCAGTTCTAAAGTCACCACCGTCAGAGGGCGTTTTAATTGTTTCAAATGAATATGCTTACAATATGTTTCTTCAGTGCTGTTGAGTTATTAAAGAAATAGTCTCTTTTAATACAAAAATATGTTTGTTAAATAAAAGTTGAATTTGCAACATTTCTCTCTTGCAGTTGTTTTGGGGTTTTGTGTGTTTTTGGTTTTGCATCATTCCTGTGTTTGCAGCGTTCTGCCGTTTGCAGCGTTTTGCCATTTGCGGCGCATTTGCCCTTGTCGGCCACCGTAAGATAGTGATTGATATTGATTGATTGATAGTAGATAGTAATTGATATTGATTGACAGTAGATAGTAATTGATATTGATATTTGATTGTAGATACACATTAATCACACAGAATGACTGATTGTTGTTTATCTGATGCGTTCAGGTTCACAGGGTCTGTGATGCATTCAGGTGCAGATTCCAAAAGAATAAGGAAGCCTTTGCTCAGTGTTTGTCAGTTTGAGGGTGACAGACAGGAAGTGCGTCTGATTGGCTATTGTGACCACAGAGTGTGTGTGTGTGTGTGTGTGTGTGTGTGTGTGTGTGTGTGTGTGTGTGTGTGTGTGTGTGAAGATAAAAACACTTCCTCAATCAAGTGAAGGAAGCCGTTAAGAATAATATATTAGTAGTTTCTAATAGTTACTGCTTTTAGTTGGTTTTATTCTTACCTTTTAGACAGAACCTTCTCGGTCACCACAGGTAATTATTCCTCAAGTACAACTCCAATTACCTGTGGTGTACCGCAAGGTTCTATTTTAGGTCCGATTTTATTTTCTATTTATATGCTCCCACTTGGCCAGATTATTAAACACCATAATGTATCGTTCCATTGCTATGCAGACGACACACAAATGTACCTTCCGCTGAGGCCCGGTGACCCTGGAAGCCTAGCTGCTATTTTAGACTGTCTTAAAGATATTAACAGTTGGATGGCCCAAAATTTCTTATAACTTAACAACACCAAAACAGAAATCATATTGTTCACCCCCCCAAACAATATTAGTCATTATCAGCAAGCCCTCGGTCCCCTCTCCATCAACATAAAACTCAAGACTGCAAGAAACCTAGGTGTACATTTTGACTCAGAGATGACATTCATCCCTCATGTCAATAAACTGGTCCAGTCCTGCTTCTATCAGCTACGCTCTGTTTCTAGAATAAAACACATGCTCACACCCCCCAGTCTGGAAAAAGTCATTCACGCATTCATCTTTTCCAGACTAGATTACTGCAACTCCCTTTTCTCTGGCAAAAAAAAATCAAAAATCACTCTCTCGCCTCCAACTGGTACAGAATTCAGCAGCTAGGCCTCTAACTGGTTTTAACAGACGTCAACACATTACTCCAATATTAGCTTCCCTCCATTGGCTCCCTGTCTGTTTTAGAATACAATATAAGATTTTACTGATCACTTTTAAAGCACGCTCAGGTCTGGCTCTGAGCTATATTACAGATATTTTAATTCCCTATGAGCCAGCTCGCAGCCTTAGATCCTCAGGCAGGGCCCTCCTAACGGTTCCAAAGTCGAGACTTAAAACCAAAGGTGATCGTGCCTTCGCCATAAAGAGGAGATAAGGCTTGCAGGATCGGTAAATTATTTTAAATCACTTCTAAAAAGTTCTTTAAAACCCATTTTTATAGACTTGTCTTTATGTGATGTGGTCCTTTTATGTTTATTTTTACTCCAACCGTCTTTGAGTTCTGTTCTACTTATTTTATTTATTCCATTTCTTATATATCAATTATTATTATAATTATTAGTTAATGTAAACACACTGACTCATACACACTTATTGATATATTGACAGTGTAAAAACAATCAATCAGTTATCAATCCAACTGTGGGAAGTTTTCTTACATAACTTAAAATCAATAAGCTCAATCAATAACCAGTGGCATAAATGTATTATTACACCCTTTCACTACTTCCTGTTTGTCTGTGTGTGTGTGTGTGTGTGTGTGTGTGCGTGCGTGCGTGTGTGTGTGTGTGCGTGCGTGCGTGTGTGTGTGAGATTATCTGCATTTGGGAATCAGCAATAAGAAAAAGAGGAAGTCCTCACAAAGACAGGAAGCTAAAATAATCCCACAAGAAGAAGAAAGAGGGAGAGAGAGACAGAGAGACAGAGAGAGAGACAGAGAGGGAGAGAGAGAGACAGAGAGAGACAGAGAGAGAGAGGGTGAGATCAGAGAGAGAGAGAGAGGGAGTGTGAAAGTGAATGTTTGCCTAACATTATGAGGACGGAACTTTGACCTTATACACAAACACACATTAGGAGGGTGTGTGTGTGTGCAGGCAGAGAGAGAGACAATGAAGGTGCCCTCGCACGCCCAAACGTCTTGGATCCATTTATGACCTGAGTGTGTGTGTGTGTGTGTGTGTGTGTGTGTGTGTGTGTGTGTGTGGGTGGGTTAACACACAAAGAGACATGATTTCATTTCAGGGCGAGTGAGCATGACTGATGAATGAGAATGAGAGAGAGAGAGAGAGAGAGAGAGAGAGGGAGGGAGAGAGGGAGGGAGGGGGGCAGAGAAAGCGAACTGAGCGTGTGCAGATCAGTCTGCAGACGGAGCAGAAGTCAGACGGAGTTCAGAGGGAATCAAACGAACGGAGGACGAAGAACATTCAGTTGATCTTTAACAACAGGAAAAGGTTTGAATTTCTCCTCTTCTCTTTTATTAGAGTTCAACCTGCTGATCAATATCCATTGATTACACTCTCACTGTCTTACCGTAAACAGAGAAATATGATTGTTTTACATTCTGCAGCTTTTATTAAATATTTTGTTGTTTTTAAGATTTTTTTGCAGTGAAAGAAGAAAATATGTAAAAATAACGATTGATTGAATCTGAGTCAATTACTGATCACAACTTCCTGTATGTATAACATCTCCTCATTAAACAGTGTATAAACTCTAGAGCTATGTTCTATATGGAGCTGGTTCAATCAATGATCTATAATCAATAAACAGTGTGTGTGTATCCAATGAACATACAGGTATCAGATGAGGACTGGATATTGGCAAATAATCAATCATAATATTACAGAGGACCCAGTCTGGAGCCCTGTGGAGCTCCTTAATCAGCTGTCTGACACTGTTGTTGTTGTTGTTGTTGTTGTTGTTGTTGTTCTTTCAGGTGTGCGTCTCCATGGCGACTGGCGTGTTGTTAAGCGTGTGGGTCGGTGTGTGCGTGGCGTCCAACCTCGACACATCGTTCCCGCTGCTGAAGACAGGCAGAGACGGAAGTCTGTTCGGACTGTCTGTTGCTCTGCACCAAGACCTGAAGACAGACAGCTACCTGTGAGTGCACACCTGTCTGTCTGTCTGTCTGTTTGTCTGTCTGTGTGTCAGACAGTGTGAAACTGCCTTCCTGAACCGCTGCTCAGACTCAACCACAGAGACACAGACAGGCTGCTCCCTGATTGGCTGACAGATTGTTGTAAAGCTCCTTTAAGTAATATCACATTTTAACAACAACACTTACTGTGTGTGTGTGTGTGTGTGTGGCTTCTGCAGTGTGTGTGTGTGTGTGTGGTTTCTGCAGTGTGTGTGTGTGTGTGTGTGTGTGTGTGTGGTTGCTGCAGTGTGTGTGTGTGTGTGTGTGTGTGTGTGAGTGTGTGAGTGTGTGTGTGTGTGTGTCTGTGTGTGTGTGTGCGGTTGCTGCAGTGTGTGTGTGTGTGTGTGTGAGTGTGTGTGTGTGAGTGTGTGTGTGTGTGTGTGTGTGTGTGTGTGTGTGTGTGTGTGTGTGTGTGTGTGTGTGTGTGTGTGTGTGCGGTTGCTGCAGTGTGTGTGTGTGTGTGTGTGTGAGTGTGTGTGTGTGTGTGTGTGTGTGTGTGTGTGTGTGTGTGTGTGTGTGTGTGTGTGTGTGTGAGTGTGTGTGTGTGTGTGTGCTGTGAGTGTGTGTGTGTGTGTGTGTGTGTGTGTGTGTGTGTGTGTGTGTGTGTGTGTGTGTGTGTGTGTGTGTGTGTGTGTGTGTGTGTGTGTGTGTGTGTGTGTGTGTGTGTGTGTGTGTCTGTGTGTGTGTGTGTGTGTGTGGTTGCTGCAGTGTAATAATGTGTTCAGTCAGCTGAGGCTGTGCAGCGTTAATAAAGCGTCTGAGGAAACATCAGGTAGAGCACGAGGTTCCAGGGTCACTGAGGAACTTGTGGAGGTTCAAGGAGTCCTGGAGTAACGTCTTCTGGTCCTTGAGGAGACTCCAGGACTCCCTGTGGGGGTCTGCTGTTGGGACTGTAGAGGTCACCCAGAGGTCACCCAGCTGTCTCTGCCGTCACCATGACGACCATCTCTATATGCTCTCTAATTGGATCACACACAGGAATCTGGTTGGGGAGGTCAGAAGTCATCGTGTCCTTTGATTGGCTCATCCTCTTTCTCTCTGATTGGTTGAACATCCTGATCAATAATTGAGATCATTTCTCCTGGAGGAGGTCAGACTGATGTCAGCAGACAGGTACTTCTTGTCACATGATGTCTGTCAGCATCAGACAGGAAGTTACAGCTCTGACATGTGACACCTGCGGACTGTCACCATGGTAACACACCTGATCCAGGCCCCTGTCTGAACAGGAAATGAAACTCATATAGACACACACACACACACACACACACACACACACTAAACACTGGGATTACTAACTGTATGTAGTTACTGAATCTATTGTTAAAAGTAATCACATTACTCTCTGTCTGTAGTCTCAGAACAAACTGGTTGTTTTTATGAGACGAAGACGAGTCCTCTGTCTGTCCTTCATCAGTGTGTGTGTGTGTGTGTGTGTGTGTGTGTGTGTGTGTCCTTCAGACGTCTCCTCATTTATTCGAGGAACGTCCACAGAGAACACAGCAGAACTCAAACAGTAGTTCAATGATCTGATACTGATCCTGATCACAAATCAATACTCTCATTATTAAAGCATCAATCAACCTGATCAGCCTTTAGCAGTTAGCTAGTGTTTCTGTAGTGGAGACTAAACGTTAACAATGATCCATATCAGCAGTTTGAATCCAACTAAAAGCTCCCTGCACCAAACTCCCTTTAAGAAATATCACATTTTAACAATTCCTAACGTGTTCGTAACAACACGTAACTCTAGAAACACGAGCTAAAGGCCGTCATATGTCCACAGTCTGACTGTCAATACAGGATCAATATCATCCATAAAGATACAGTGTATACTGATCAATATCATCCATAAAGATACAGTGTATACTGATCAATATCATCCATAAAGACACAGTGTATTCTGATCAATATCATCCATAAAGACACAGTGTATTCTGATCAATATCATCCATAAAGATACAGTGTATACTGATCAATATCATCCATAAAGATACAGTGTATACTGATCAATATCATCCATAAAGACACAGTGTATTCTGATCAATATCATCCATAAAGATACAGTGTATACTGATCAATATCATCCATAAAGATACAGTGTATACTGATCAATATCATCCATAAAGATACAGTGTATTCTGATTAATATCATCCATAAAGATACAGTGTATTCTGATCAATATCATCCATAAAGATACAGTGTATACTGATCAATATCATCCATAAAGATACAGTGTATACTGATCAATATCATCCATAAAGACACAGTGTATTCTGATCAATATCATCCATAAAGATACAGTGTATACTGATCAATATCATCCATAAAGATACAGTGTATACTGATCAATAATCCATAAAGATACAGTGTATTCTGATCAATATAATCAATAAAGATACAGTGTATACTGATCAATAATCCATAAAGACACCTTTCTCTACAGGTAACACCTCACCTGTCTCACCTGTCTCGTCCTGACAGGCTATTGGTCGGAGCCCCCCGGGAGAAGGCAGAGCCTAATGTTCCAGCCAATCGAACGGGAGGAGTGTACAGCTGCCCGATCACCGCTGAGCAATCAGACTGCAGCAGGATGAAGCTTATAGATGCAGGTGAGACTCCTGAGACCTTTCTTTTATTTAGATATTGAACCAGGAAGTGTGCAGGAGAGGACACACCTGCACCGTCTCACCTGGAGTCACACAGCTGGTCTGCTCACCTGGCTGCAGGTGTGTACAGGTGCCCACCAGACTCCATTCACAAAACCACTCATTTTACTTCACAACACCAACAGAAACCAAATAAACCCGTCTGTTGCTGTGCCACATCCGTGCCGCTGTGCATTATGGGTAACTCCCCAGAGGTTTGTATGGACTCTTTCAGGTTAAATGTGTGTGTGATGTTATCTCTCTCTCTTGGTGCATTATGGGTAGTCTATCCCTCAGTGAGACGTGACAGCTGCTGTCTGTTTCTGTTTTATCTGCCTCTCAAACACACACACACACACACACACACACACACACACAGAAACTCACACACACACACACACACACACACACACACACACACACACACACACACACACTCAGACATCATAAAGCTCCTATCTATATCCTGAGTGGGCTGTAATCAGTGGTCACCATGGCAACGTCCAATCAGGAGCCCATTGTGGCACTGTGCTGCTGTTTCAGACCTGAACCTGAATGAGGACCTGGTTGAGGACATGTGGCTGGGTGTCTCCGTGGCCAGTCAGGGCCGACCTGGGGGGCGGGTCCTGGTGAGTCTGTGTTCTGATTGGCTGATCAAGCTGTCTGTAAATGTTAAGTAGACATTCACATTGGTTTAAAGGGCCAGTACCCACAGTAACAATTGTTATATATATTAATATTAATAATACCTGAGCACACACTGTTGCTAACTAACTAGCTACCTAGTTAACCGACCCTCTCTCCCCCGGCAGGCGTGCGGCCATCGGTTTGTTAAACTCTACGGAGAGTTCAAACTCAGACACATGATCGGACGCTGTTATGTCCGTGGAAATGACCTGAAGTACGACGACGCGGACATGCACTGGCAGGACCCCGACCAGCCCTGCAGGTAGCTCACCTGACGCACTCGACGCAGGTCACACAGGTCACATGATATTTCCTGTCAGTAAACGTGTGTGTGTGTGTGTGTGTGTGTGTGTGTGTGTGTGTGTGTGTGTGTCAGTCACCTGGGTGATGTCAGCCGTGAGGTCATGTGTAACATGGGGATTTCTGCCTCCATCACTCAGACTGAAGTCATCGTCGGCTCACCTGGAAGCTACGAGTGGCAAGGTGAGCCTGAACCTGTCATCAGGACGTAACATCTGTTGTTCTCACCAGTAACGAGTGTGTGTGTGTGTGTGTGTGTGTGTGTGTGTGTGTGTGTGTGTGTGTGTGTGTGTGTGTGTGTGTGTGTGTGTGTGTGGTGGGTGTAGGTAACGTGCACATCTCGTGGATGAACCCGCTCGTTGAATTTGACACCCAGAGGAGCTCCTTCCCCAACCTGAAGAACAGAAGACACATTTATATAGGTGAACTGTCCCTTTAAGAGCCCAGTGAACACATATTGATCCTGCAGTGATCAGATCTCAGCCCGATCAATACACTTTAGAGCTGTGACCTCTGACCTCTGTTTGTGTGTGTGCAGGATATTCGGTCACTCAGGCTCTTGGTCTTCTCTCTCAGGATGATGAAACCATCGTAACAGGTGATGAACTGTAAAGTACTGAAGTAAAAAGCTGATCTATTGATCGGCTGGCTGACTTATTGATTGGTGTATTGACGAACAGGAGCTCCTAAGGACAGTAAAGAAGACGCTCGTGGCTCCGTGCTGTTGGCGGTCAAACACTCTCAACAGCTGATCGTTAACCAGACGCTGCGTGGCGAACAGATGGGCTCGTACTTCGGTAACGCCGTGGCAACCACCGACCTCAACAATGACGGGTAACGGAGGGTTCACACTGAGGTCACATCCTGCTCTTTATGTCCCAACATCCTGACAACCTTTATATTATATATATATATATATATATAATATTATATTTCAGTTTGTTCAGTGTGTTAATTAGCTCATCTTAAGATAATGAATCCTCTCTGCAGTGGTAGGTGGAATATTCTGCCTTTACTCCACCAATAATCACATATTTCTGTGATTTATTGTCAATAAACGGATCAATATGTTACTGAAATAATTCATAGAATCAATAACTCTGGAAATCACTGATCATTGATCCCCTGCAGGTGGAACGACCTCCTGGTGGGCGCTCCTTTTTACTTCCACCGTCGACAGGAGTGGGGCGGGGCAGTTTATGTTTACATGAACGCGGGAGGCAGGTTCGACACTCGGCCCAGCGTGGTGCTGAGAGGACCGGCTGGGTCAGCGTTCGGTATGTCCGTTGCCGCCGCTGGAGACCTCAACCAAGATGGCTTCCAGGGTGAGGATGCCGTCGATGAACTGGTTGTAACGTGTGGAAAGAACTGAGGAAGAATCCAACGTGTGTTTTTGTGTTTCAGACTTTGCGGTCGGAGCTCCTTTCCATGAGACAGGAAGTGTTATGATCTGGAGCGGGAGCAGCGAGTTGGTCTCTACAGAACCGAGCCAGGTCTCACAGTGAACACGGATCCGTAAGATGAGAGGCAGACTGTGGATCACACCTGTAACCCGTCTGTCTCTCTCTGCAGGTGATCCGGGGCAGCAGGGTCTCTCCCGGGTTCAGGACCTTCGGGTACTCTCTGTCTGGAGGCGGGGACGTTGATGGGAACAAATATCCAGACCTGCTGGTCGGCTCTCTGGACGCCACCGTGGTTCTGCTCAGGTACGACAAACCCGCCAAAACTGTACCGGCGACTTTATACTGAGAGTCAGAGGTCTCAGAGAGCTGGTGACCTGAAGGTCGTCGATTCAATACCCG